CGCCTCTGGGAGCTGGGTGCCACGGCGTCGGCAGGAGGGGCCAGGTACGGGCGTTCCGGTGGACCCGAGTGCTCGGGCGAGGAGTGGCGCCTGCGGGTGTCCCTGATAAACCTGCGGCAAGGCGCTCGTCTGCCGTGGCGCTTTGCTACGCTAAACTTCCTGCCCGTTCCTGAGGGGGTTCTGCCGCCTGCCCCGAGCGCGCGTCGCTCGGTTCCTCAGCTTGCCCTGTGCAGGGCAGGCAGCCGCAGGTCCTGCTCCTGTCTCTAGCGCTGCTGCTGTGCAGCCCTGCTTGTGCTGCTTAACTTCCTTATAGACAAGGCGTAACAAGCCGGAACAGTACTGAGCTTCTGCAGACGCTGTCTTTCGAGATACTCGGCTTGAAATACTTGGAACGGTTCTAACAGGGCAGCGACAGGGTTTTATTCCGCTGTGCAAGGCAATGCCAATAGATGCAGGCTGCCGTGACCACACTGTCCTGCTGGAGTGGATTCTTGCTAGGAAAGAATGGCGTGGTACATGGTGCTTTGAAATGCCTGTTCTCTGCGTGTGTGGCTTCTGTAGAACCTCGGCAAAGCTATTTGCGAACTGTTCTGAAGACAATTTATTTGAAGCTTTTCTTTATTTTAGTCAGTTATTCTGAACTGGCTTCCCTCTGGGGAGGTTTCTTGTTTTTCACTTTGCACTAAGAACTGCAGCTTCCCCCGCCCCTTACAGAAGTTTTAGTTGGTAAGGTAACAAAGCCGTTTAAATAACAAAAGCCCCTCAATGTTACAGAGGACTTATTTGTGTTATGGTAAAGACTTACTTGCTCTGAAATTGTGTGCATTTCCTTGGAACTTGATTTATCTCTGGTTAATTACTTGTGTAGTACAGTATAGCTCCTTCTATAGGAGCTTGGTTTCCAGGTTTTTTTCACTTGTGGAATGTCCTTACGCTTAGTTGAGATATTGGCCTTTGTATATAAAACTGTGAAAAAAGTTTATTTAGTTTTATTTTATCAACTCATTGCAAGTAGTTGTGGACATCCCATGGGCCTGCAGCCAACAGACTGAAGAATCAGTGTTATAGATTGTTGTTGTGAAAGGCACCAGTTTTAGGATTTGAGACCTCTTGATTGCTTGGGAAGGTGACTAAGTCTCTTTACACTGATCCGGAACAGAATAGAACTGTACTGTGCTACTTAACAGCTGTTATGAAGATAATAAATTCATAAAAAACAGCTGGTAGTATTGTTTTCTATGAGCAATAATATAAGGATAACTTTTATTATTTAAAGAGATGACGGGAGAATCATATTTTTAAAAGTTAGGTTTTGAGACTAGTTTGGAAGGAGTGGGTTTTCCTAGTAATGAAAAAAGTAATTTTTTAAGCTGATGCTAGAGTCTTGGAGAAATACCTGAATAATGCATTTTGCATTTCTTTTTAGTGCTCCCTCCCCTCCAAGTAAGGCAGAATTTTTTTTTTTTTTTAATTATGTACCTTTTTTTGGTTTGTTACTGAAGACCAGAATCATCCCAGGTATGGAAATGGTGGAAATGGGAGTGGAATGGAAAAAGAGGATTGAAGTTACCTTTAAATCCTTGATTGAGTGAGAGGAGAGAAAGGAGTTGTTCAGCAGCCTCGGACTAGCCTGAAAGAAAGCTGGTAATTTACAGCATGCCCTGTGCTCTGTCTGTGCTCTCTGGCAGCATCATTCCCATTTCACGTCTCTCTCTTTCTTTTCTTGATGTCTGCTGCTGCTTTACAATGTCTGTTTCTGTCTTCTTATTAACTTACTCTCCTTGCCTTTTCTCACAAGCTACTTTCAAAAACGTGCTATTTCTTTCTAATCCTTTTCCTTCAGAAGATCCACACTGTCTGCCACTTCTCACTCTTCGTTGTCTGCTTGCTTTTAGCAAAGTTGTCTCTGGCAGAGGGAAGCAGGAGGCAGTCTTCCAGAAGGACAAGGTTGCTTTTAGTTGCAAGCAGCCCTGTAGTGAGAATGTGAAGCGATTCTCTGGCAGCTCAGTAGGAGCAACCAAGGAGACAACACAGCTTGATCTAGCTAGTATGGGTCTGTATTCTAGTGACAGTGCAACACCAGGTAAAGATTATTACTGTAGTGGGAGTCAAAGGCCTCATAGGAGAGGCTGTGACGGGAAATGTCTGGGGGTGAAACTTCAGGTGGAGTGCCTGGTTCTGTTCCCGAAGGGAGACGGCCTGTGAAGGGAGCTGAAGAGGAACAGGGAGTTCCACTCAGGATAATTGTGGTGGAAGGGGTTCTGGATAAAGGACCTGCCATTTGCCAGGTTGTCAGGAGCTGCTGGGCTCTGAGCGTCCCTCTGAGACACAACTAAGACCCTACTGGGAAGATGACGGCCGACAGTAGATGCCAGGGTGAACTTCAAGGTGGAAGGGTCAAACAGACTTAGGAACAGTGGGAGTTGTTGTGCCCCCAGAGGCAGGTGCATGAGGTGCCTGGTAAGGGTTCGAGGAGGGAATGTCTAGTTAGTACTGTTCACCAGCTCCTTTAAATTTGCCCTGTATGAGAAGAAAACTTGGACTACTTGTGCAGTTGTATCATCTGCTCCGAGTCCTTTGTCTGCCTCATCCTGGCAGTGGTCAAGACTGCCATTTCAGGTGAAATACAGAACTGGAGGGACATGGCAATTTAACAATATTAATCTGCAATGCTATGTAATCTTCACTAGACAAAACAGGAGAACCATTTTTTGCTGGTGGCTGCCTTGTCTTATGTAGAGGTGTATATTTTGGCAAGGATGATAATGAGGTATAATAACAATACACCGATGCAGGGTAATGAAGCAACTTCATGTTCACGTAGTGTATGCCAGAGCCGCCAGGTGCTATAATTCTCATGGTATTTGTAAGAGCAGTCTTCCACTGCAGTTACTATGAGCTCTCCTTGTCCTCTCTTCAATACCTTCTCCTTATCACAGCTTGTGCAATGTTGTTTGCTCTATTCCAATGGTGCAGAGGGATGGATTGGAAGCAAAATTTTGTAAAAGTGGAAGGAGAGGTTTTGTGGCTGAAGCACTGTCTGGGAGGACTGGATTCTTGTTAATCTCCTTTGTATCATTTGTGATACTAGATGCATTACTTCAACTAGACCTGTCATAGGAAATTGCTAATTGTGTATCCCTTGTCTGCTGAGTACTTGCTCTAGTGGATTTTGACTTACAAGAATTCTGAGTGTTTACAAGTTCAGTCAAGGGAAACTAATGCCAAATACCTTGGAAATTGGTGTCCTTACTTGTAATCATGGTTAACATCTTGACATTTGGTAGCGCTCAGGGAAAAGTGAATCAGCATGTCTTCTATATTGAAAAGGGCTGAGATTCATGAGAAGTATAGTAGATGCTGTGTTGTGGGGTGTACGGAGAAGTCTGGGTGATGCAGCCTCTCTACATTTTTGTTGTTGTTCCAAGCTTCTCTATGGACAAAGTTATGCCTTTTCTCCATTGTAGGTACACTCACTAATAGTCTTTTCCCTTCTTGGAGAACCATGTTTTGTTCTTGATCTTTAATAATGACCTTCTGCCAGCAGGTAGGGAACAGGGGCCTTCAGTTCTTCTAAGTCACAGTCTGAGAATTGTGCAAAATGGAGAGAGTGGGCTGTCTGTCTCTTGCACGAGGAAATCGTGTCAAGGCTGTACAGGACAAAGAGGAGTTTGGGTGGAGGGGGAGCGGGTGAGGAGAGAAATATAGATGAAAATTCACTGATATTTAACCACTTTTCCCCCTTCCTTCCTTTTAACTTACAGATATCCTTGATTTGCAGAAGGCATCTCAAAATGTTGTGTCGAGCTGCTCTGAGCCCTCTTGTCCGTTCCCCTGGATGGTGCTTTGTGTTGTCGCCACATGCCATCGCAGCCATTTCCCGTTTATGTATGTATGAGAGAAAGCACACGTTTCTAATAACGTTGGTCACTATGTGTCTGGGCATGCCTATGCTCTTTCCTGTGTTGAAAGGAAAATCACCTCATTAACATCATTCAAAACTTACAGCCTCTGGAGTGAGCTGCAGTTGAAGCTCTACTTTCGTAATGTTACTTTCTCCCTTATAATATTCAGCTGGATGTCTGAGAGGGTGTTTTTTTCATTCTGACATGCGTTTCAAGCCAAAAAATCAATTGTGAAAGTACTGGTACTGTAGAAGTTCTTTATTTCAACCTCATGCATTCCTGGAAAACAAGATCTGATTATGTCTGCTCCCCCATCTGCATTTTCAGCCCACAAATGTCTTGAGTAAAGCAAGGTGTGAAGCTCAAATTTATTCAGATTAGATAAAAATGGAAAGATGCTTGCAGGAAACCTGAGTGTAAAACATAGGTGCCCTGTAAATAGTCGTTCCCTGAGAACCTAACTTGAGAGAACTCTTCGCTATTTATTTGATTAGTGGTCTGAAATACAGAAGGCAAGGATAGATAGACTCTCTTAGATCAAGAGATTAACTGTTCACTGTTGCATGCAAAATTAATTTCCCATTGGTCTGTGTGCTAACAGTTCTCTCTTGTTGATATATGTATAAATTAATAAGTGTTGAAATCTTGAAAATGCTAAACTTGTTTTTTCTGAGCTATAGCTCCGTTGACTTCTGCATTTGTAGTATTTTTAAATATTCCGCGTTTTCCAAAGTCAGTAAACTACTCGTAGTTAACACTGTGAAAATTATTCCTTAGTATTGACAGTAGTCAATATCCAGTATTGGAGCAACTCTGGTTACTTCATCAGTTGCATTCTAGAGCTGGATTGAGCATTTATAACAGTTTTCTTCTCTACTATTTCTGTTGTGATCCTGCTCAGCTCGTGTGTGTTTTGAAATTCTGCTGCTTTACTCCTGAGAAGCAAGCCTCATGCAGATTACATAAAAGGATCTGCAAGCCAAATACTTAAGTCTTTTTCATATGTTTCCCCTTCTTTATTAACAAGTGAAACTGTTGACAAGGTACTGGATATAAAAACTGGAAGGCCTAGAAGCCTATTCGTCCAAAAAATTGACTGGATGGCTGTATTGGTTTCTCCATAATTGCATATGAAGCAAGTTAATGGGCTTGCATCACCAGAAATGTTTTGCATATGCAACGTGGGAGCTAATTTCACATCTTGGTCCAGTCTAAAATAACTAAAAAAAAGATAGGTTTATGCAGTCATAGAGCAAGGTTAGCAATTAGGACTTCAGTGGAGATGAATTAAATTCTCTGCTTGTTCTTGAACTGTTGTCTCTTTCCTTGTTTTTCTGAAAAAATAAGAGGTTTCTTTTGAGATACTGGTTATCCCTCAACAGCTGCCACCTTGGAACCTTCTAAACCCTGAAGCTCTAGCCAAGACAATTGGAAATAAACTGTTTTTACTCCTTTCTGGTCATACTGTGTGGGATAGGCAAATACTATATAGTAATGTATAATGCTGGAAAGAACAGTTAAATTGGACTCCTTCACCTATTCTTTCATGTGTATTGTAGGCCTTATTTACATTCATAAGTCTTCCCTTATGAAGATGAGGGGCAAATGAAACTCATCTCCAAATTCCATTTTCTACTTCTATATGCGTGACATGTTAGTGCAGCCCTCAGTTATGATTAATCATTTAAGCTTCTTCTGCAGGTATAACAAACAAAATATTTATTTATTTAAAACATTGTTAAATGACAAGTTTCTCTTTTCTGTAGCGCTATGTTAATTCCTGTCTTTCTCCAGCAGACATAATGCCCAGGATAGTCACTTTAGGTTATAAATCAATCCATTTTGTATTATAGAGCATCAAAATTAGAGAGACTGGACAGATTAAATAAAATCAGATAACTCTGACCATGGCATAGGATTCAGTTTACTGATTTATAAAGAAGCCTCTGCATCTTCAGATGAGAGACTGGTTAGGATTGACTAGGATAGAATAGTTCAGTTGGAAGGGACCTACAACGATCATCTAGTCCAACTGCCTGACCACTTCAGGGCTGACCAAAAGTTAAAGCACGTTATTAAGGGCATTGTCCAAATGCCTCTTAAACCCTGACAGGCATGGCGCCCCCCCCACCTCCCCAGGAAGCCTGTTCCAGTGTTTGGCCACCCTCTTGGTAAAGAAACACTTCCTAATGTTTCCAGTCTGAGCCTCCCCTGACGCAGCTTTGAACCATTCCCACGCATCCTGCCCCTGGATCCCAGGGAGAAGAGCTCAGCACCTCCCTCTCTCCACGTCCCCTCCTCAGGAAGCCGCAGGGAGCAATGAGGTGGCCCCTGAGCCTCCTTTTCTCCAAACTAGACAAACCCGGAGCCCTCAGCCGCCCCTCAGAGGACATGCCTTCCAGCCCCGTCACCAGCTTTGCTGCCCTCCTCTGGACACATTCAAGGACCTTCACATCCTTCTTAAATTGTGGGGCCCAGAACTGCACACAGTACTCAAGGTGAGGCCACGCCAATGATAAATACAGCAGGATAATCACCTCTTCTGCCCGGCTGGTTACGCTGTGTTTGATGCCCCCCAGGATGTGGTTTGCACTCTCAGCTGCCAGGGCACACTGCTGGCTCCTGTTGAGCCTGCTGCCAACCAGCACCCCCAGATCCCTTTCTGCAGGGCTGCTCTCCAGCCACTCCTCTCCCTGTTTATACTTGTGTCCAGCGTTACTTTGTCCCTGGTGCAGAATCTGGCATTTGTTCTTGTTAAATTTCATGCCATTGATGATTACCCAGTGCTCCAATCTATCTAGATCCCTCTGCAAGGCCTCTCCTGCCCCTGGATCCCAGGGAGAAGAGCTCAGCACCTCCCTCTCTCCACGTCCCCTCCTCAGGAAGCCGCAGGGAGCAATGAGGTGGCCCCTGAGCCTCCTTTTCTCCAAACTAGACAAACCCGGAGCCCTCAGCCGCCCCTCAGAGGACATGCCTTCCAGCCCCGTCACCAGCTTTGCTGCCCTCCTCTGGACACATTCAAGGACCTTCACATCCTTCTTAAATTGTGGGGCCCAGAACTGCACACAGTACTCAAGGTGAGGCCACGCCAATGATAAATACAGCAGGATAATCACCTCTTCTGCCCGGCTGGTTACGCTGTGTTTGATGCCCCCCAGGATGTGGTTTGCACTCTCAGCTGCCAGGGCACACTGCTGGCTCCTGTTGAGCCTGCTGCCAACCAGCACCCCCAGATCCCTTTCTGCAGGGCTGCTCTCCAGCCACTCCTCTCCCTGTTTATACTTGTGTCCAGCGTTACTTTGTCCCTGGTGCAGAATCTGGCATTTGTTCTTGTTAAATTTCATGCCATTGATGATTACCCAGTGCTCCAATCTATCTAGATCCCTCTGCAAGGCCTCTTGTCCTTTGGGAGAGTGAACAGCACCTCCCAGTTTAATATCACCAGCAAACTGGGTAACAGTGCAGTCAGCTCCTGCATCTAGATCATTGATAAAAATATGGAACAGCACGGGCCCTAGGATTGAGCCCTGAGGAACACTGCTGGTGACCGGTTGCCAGCCAGATATAGTCCCATTCACTACAACCCTTTGAGCCCTGACGTCCAGCCGGTTCTTCACCCAGTGCACCATGAACCGGCTCTTCTCACAGTTGGACAACTTATCCAGGAGGATGCTGTGAGGAACAGTATCAAAAGCTTCACTAAAATCCAGAAAAACTACATCCACCACCTTCCCTTCATCCCCTGGGCAGGTGACCTTATTGTAGAAGAGTATCAAATTAGTTAAACAGGACTTCTCCTTTGTGAACCCAGGTTGACTGTGCCTGAGGATTGCATTGTTCTTTAAATGCCTTTCAGTAGCCAGTGTGATCTTCTCCATAATTTTTCCATGAATGTGTGCCATCTTTTGACTAAGTTGCACTTTTGGTCCCGGAGTGTAGTGTCGCTAGCTGTTTTTTCTGTAATTACATCAGCAGTGTTCTCCCTCTTTTTTGCTATACTGGTGTTTTTGAGACTCTCTAAAAGTTGACCTGGTTTAATGCAGTTTCTGAATAGTAATACAAGAAGAACTAGATGTTGGATAAGGAAATGTGGTTTCAAATTTTTTTTCAAGTAATATGGCTTATCCAGGTTATATTAATTATCCAGTTGACACACTTGGACTGCGGGTATTCTTATCTGTACGACTACTTCTTCAGACACAATTCACTGTGGCTCTGCAAAACTTCATATGAAGTATGTTGGAAGTGCTTTCCATCTGCCTTCACTCCTTCAGCTTAACTGTGGGACTTTATGTGTTTGGGTCCACCTCTGTCAATTAGAAAGGATCCAGACTGTTCCTTGTGATTGTACCTTAATAGTGACTATTCTCTTTAATCTGCTGTGCTGATAGTGGTATTACTGTCCTTTGAAGGCATTTTGAAAACAAAGATTTTGCTGGGAAATGTTCCCTAGCTCATTGACTTGGGCGAAGTGCCAGCCTTATGTATCTTGTATCTTACCTGAGTAATGCTATGACTGTTTCTTCTCCCTCCAATGCCTATTTATCCTGTAGGAAGGTGACTTCCAGTTTGTATGTCCATCATCCCCCTTCTGCTGCCCCTAGCTGAGCAACGTGCAAAATACCTTAGAGGCGTTGTAAAAGCTGTGTTTCTTTTCTTTCCTAACAGTCAAGCTTTCTGTGCTACTACAGACAGAAAAACTCTCTAGCTGTATCTAATGAGGCAAGGCAAATGAGATTGTTTTAAAAAATAGTACTTTTACTTCTTATGTGAGCTGTATGGGTTTTTTTACAGTGTCCTTCAGTTTGGTCTAGATTCCCAGAGTCAAAGCTCTGTGACACATGGGGTATTGCCTTATATACCTTAGGGGTGGTTAGTGCTGCTCAGATACTGTTGGTTCTCACTTTATTTTAGTGACTTGAAAGCTAGTTTCTCATTCCCAGTCACTGAGAAGTGTGCGTTGTGAGCTTTAGGCTTGGAAAGGGAGGAAATGTTACATTACCTCAAGGGCTTAAAGACTGAATGAAACACTTATAACTGCATATTTTTTTTTCTTTCTTTCTTTCTTTAACCACAGATCTCCCTTGCTATAACCAAAGATTAAGGAATGAATCCATCCGTTGTTGGAGCAACATCCCATTTATCACTATGCCACTCAGCCGTGCACATGGAAAATCATTTGCACACCGCAGTGAGCTGAAGCATGCAAAGCGGATTGTAGTGAAGCTGGGTAGTGCTGTTGTGACTCGAGGGGATGAGTGTGGCTTGGCCCTTGGGAGACTGGCATCTATTGTAGAGCAGGTAATTCTGTGACTGAAGTGGAATGTTTGTTTTAACTTCAGATACTCAGTGATTGTTGGATGGCACAAAAGATTGTAGGAAAACCTCATAAAACAGTGATGGCCCTTTAAAGCAATGTGTTGGCCTTTCCCTTTTTCATCCCCCTGTGCTGGGGTAGCATAAACCATGTGACTCAGTAAATTGGTGTTTGAAGGTGTGGTGGGTTGACCTTGACCAGCAGCTAAGCACCCACACAGATGCTTGTTTGCTCCCTGCACCTCCACCCCACCACCAGTCGGATTGGAAAGAAAAGAAGAGCAAAAGTAAGACAACTCATGCGTTGAAATAAAGATAGTTTAGTAAGTGAAGGAAAGGGGAAAAGAAACTAGTGATGCTAAGGCAATCACTCACTGCCTTGCACAAGCAGACCAATGCCTAGCTAGTCCCTGAGTGACGGCCACCTTGGAAGACAACCCGCTGCCCTTTCCTATTCTGCTACCCCAGTTTTATTGCTGAGCATGGCGTTACATGGCATGGAATGTCCCTTTGGCCAGTTCATGTGAGCTGTCTCAAATGTCTCCTCTCCGAACTTCTTGCCCAGCCCCTAGCTCACCTGCTGTGTTGGGACACAGTGGGAAAAAGAAAGCCTTGATGCTGTGCAAGTACTATTTAGCAATAGGCAAAACATCAGAATGTTATCAACACTGTTTTAGTCCTGAAATCCAAAACACAGCACTATATGGGTCCCTATGAAGAAAGTTAACTCCATCTTGGCCAGACCCAGTATAGAGGAAGAGATTTGCACAGCGAGATTTTCATGCAATAGGTAAGACATGACTGGGTCATTAGTTGGATCTAGTGGGAAGGTGGCACTGAAGTTTGTGAAGTCTGCAGAAAGAGCAGACCCTTCTTGATTACCTGAGCATTTGCAGATTTCCTCCAGGAGAAAGCTTGAAACCTCATTACTTGTAGGAAAAACTGATGGGATCAACTCATGGATTGGTTCTCCAAAATGAAATTATGACTTCAGGGGGGATTGGATGTGTCTTCTCTGGGAAGTAAAGTTAACATAATAAATTAAATCCATATAAGACATTTAGCTTTAGAGCTTTGAAAGGAATCTGGCCAGATGCGTGTAAGGAAGAAGTAATTAAAAGCTGTACTGTTGGAGTTAGCTGCTTCACTTCTAGAAAACAAAGTTACTGTATAATGGGAGCTTTGGGAATGGATGGTGAATAAGAAGGCTGGTGGAAGTACAGCTGCTACTTTACAGCTTTTTCATATCTTATCTTTCCTTATCTGTAGCAATGGAGGTGGAGGGGTGAGGATTATAGAAGTGTTACCATGTCATATGTATTGTGAAAATTCAAGCGTGACTGTCATGAAAACGGGTATTGTGAAAAGAAAGTTTAGCAGAATCTATAGATTGCATGCAGTCCTTTGCCTAGCTCCCAAGTGGGTAGGAACATGTGCAGGAGTATCTTAGAGGGTGGTTGCCTTGCTTTGTGCATCCATGGATAAAGCGAAACACTTGTGTCAGCAAGAACTGGTGAGTGCAAGGTTATCTATAATAGCCAGAACTGTCATGCTAGCAGTGATCATACTCCAGGCCCTGTTTCTTATGTTCTGTACTTACAGGTGTCAATGCTGCAAAATCAGGGCCGAGAGATGATGATTGTCACCAGTGGTGCTGTAGCTTTTGGAAAGCAGCGGTTGCGTCATGAGATCTTGCTTTCTCAGAGTGTGAGGCAAGCACTTCATTCAGGCCAGAGTCAGCTAAAGGATATGGTGAGTGGCTGGGCGTACTCCCGCTTTTCCTTGAATGTTGGGTAGTACCTGCTCAAGTCACTGCCTGACAGCTGTTCTTTATCTTTGTAGGCTATTCCAGTCTTGGAGGCCCGAGCCTGTGCAGCAGCTGGCCAGAGTGGACTAATGGCTCTGTATGAGGCCATGTTTACACAGTACAGCATCTGTGCAGCTCAAGTAAGGGATTCCTTCTTTCCTAGACTGACTTGCTACTTTGGTCAGCGATGGAATTATTCTTGGATTTTTTTCCGTGTTTCATATGCTGCTATCTTTACTGTAGTGTTGCATTTCCATTGCCAACCTACTTTTGGGGCTTGTTATTGTAGCATAAATGGTAGCTTATACAGGAGTGCCTTGCTAAGTATTTCTGAAATGGAGTTATCCATTGTCAAGGTGAAGCAAATATGCTTTTCCTTTTTGGAGTTCGTGTGTGTCCTGCTCTTGTGTGTAGGGGGCCGGGGGGGCGTGGGGGGTGTGTCTGTTAAGGTCTTCACAAAAGCTAAAGCTGGTGGTCCAAAGTGAGGGTTTAAAAATCACTGCCACATATTCTGTAAAGCTGACAGAAGTACACATCCACACTTCAGAACTTGCTGTCCATCTGCTCCTCAAACCTTTCTAACTTGTGGGTGATGGTATCCCTAGCCTGGGTCTTTTACCTATACTGAATGCTGCAACTGTATTAATTAAACTACTCTTAAACAGGCTTTGCTTATCTTAAATACTTTGAGAATACAGAATTGCATCAACTGCAAGGCCTTATTTGTTCAGACACTTTTAATGAATTTAGGAGCCTAGTATGAAGTCTCGCTTGGAGGAACTTCTTCCTGTAACACAATATAGCTGATATCACTAAAATGCTTACAGTATAGCTAACAATCACTATAGGTTGCGCTGGATTGTAATCTTATTCAAGTCTGCAGACGATTATAATTCCTTTGATTTAAAAGAATTAATTACCCATGCCAAAAAAGCCAGTGTACACATTGATTCTAAGTGCTATTGTAACATTTGTGTGGTGGAGTTGTTTGCTTAGTTCTCAAATGTCCAATAGCACAGTAAAAATGAAAAAAATGTCTCTTCAGAGCAGACGCTGAGTTTTTTTGTCTTAAAATACAAAAAAGAAAGAGATGGTGTCTGCATGCAGGAGGCTTTAAGACCAAGATTCTTCTAGAGCTGAAGAGAAGTCTTGAGACAAAGCACCCCTTCTGCTTGCGGCAATAGAAACATTACACTGGGAGAGAAAACAGGGAAGACAGTGTCTTGAGTAGTCTATTGAATTGTTTAGGCTCTCAGTAGTTATCATCAGCATCTATGTTCTGCTTATGTTTTTTTTTTTCCAAGTTGATTCCTGGAGCCTGTGATCTGTCAGCTTGAGAAAGGCCATTATAGGCTCCAGTGGAAGTTAAGGTACATAAACCTGAAAATGTTGTGGAAAGAATATTTCTTACTTGGATTCTTTATCCTTTAAAAGTGGCTTATGTTTCTTTAGTGACCTGAAGGGCATGCCTGATCTGTTATGATATGTTAATACATATGTTTATGATGTTCTTCTCAGGAAAAGTGGTAGGCTAAGTATATATTAATTTTTTTTCCTCCGTTTAGATTTTAGTCACCAACCTGGATTTCCATGATGAACAGAAACGTCGGAACTTAAATGGAACGTTGCACGAGCTTTTAAGAATGAATATTGTCCCTATAATTAACACTAATGATGCTGTTGTTCCACCTCCGGAGCCGAACAGTGATCTGCAGGGGGTAAATGTGGGTAAAGTATTGCAAGGGGGTGGATCCTGCTTGTAGATGGTACAGCACTAATGTGTACTTCACTAATGCCATAACTGGGGACCTCTGAAGCCTGCAACAGAGAAACAGACATACAAAATTAGTAATGTGGACAGAGGGTACTGGAAGACTATGCTGACCTGTCTGTTTCTGGCAGGATACAGTGCTTGGGGTGGAAGCAGGGCATCAGATGTCTGCTCTGCCAAAAGCAAGCGTGCCCAGTTTGGTTTTCACTGAACAGTTGAAGTTGGAAGGGACTTCTGCAGGTTAGACAAGCCTGCAGTCCAGCACCTGCGTTTAAAGCAGCATCAGTTAGTACCTCTTGTCCTGTCACTGGGCAGCAAGGTGGAGAATGCAGGTACTGATCACACTGCTTGTCATTTTGATACTGCTTTACTGCATTCCAAAAGCGTATGTACTTTCACACAAAGATCACCTTCTAAGTTTCCAGTGGGTGTGAACAAAGTAGCTCAGAAGGACTTGGTAGTGCTGAGGTAGCTTGCTTTTGTGTGTTGCAGCCAAATATTTCCTAGTTTCTCCCGCTGTTCATTGCAGGTAATTAGTGTGAAGGATAACGACAGTCTGGCAGCACGACTGGCTGTGGAAATGAAAACTGATCTCCTGATTGTTCTCTCAGACGTAGAAGGTTTGTGAGTCATTTCTTACTTTCTTGTTTTATTGAAGTACATCAGATAGTCAAGCCAACCTATATTTGGGTTTTACTGATCTCTTCAGTTCGTATCTTTCACAGGGACAATTACAACGTGCCACATAACTCTTTAAGGCATATATCCAGTGCTGATGCTGTTGCATAAGCCAAAGACTGCCTGCCACACTGTTGAATCTGGGTGGGTGAGAATGCATGTGAACTCGAGACTCGTTCCAGAATACCATATGTACGATGGTACTTCTGCTATCTTCTCAAAATTGTATGATATAGTTATAAGTAATACGCAGGACAAAGGCTATGTGTTTAGAGTCAGGAGTATAAGCCAAATACTGTTCTACAATAGTTTGTTTCTTCTGGCAGCAGGTTCTGTCTTTCAGTGAATTACAGGTACATTACAAGTCCTGATCATTGCCTTCCAGATACCTGGAACTTGCTAGCTTTTTCTGTCTCCCGGACATTTGGCTTACACTGCTCTAGTCTCCTGAGCTGTGCTGCTGTGGCATAAGTCTGTCACCTATGGATGTTGGAGTTCCTTTTCTAGAGAGAGGAGGGTAGTGGGTGCAGTTTCAGATCAGTGCAGTCCACATCACCCAAGTCGCATAGTCTTTTCAGCTTCTTCAGATGGGTTTCTTTCGGTGCATCCTGGACTTTGGCACATATTGTAGGCCTTGAGGAGGAAGGAGGTGCCTTTCCATAAACACAGTTTCTTTTAGCAGATTCAGCTAGATTTCATGGTTGATTCTAGTTGAAATGACTGGCTGAGAACAACTCATGAAAGCAGTAGTCAAAACAACTTGTAAAATAAATTAACACCCAACACCCCCATCCTCCAAGCTTATTCATTCAACATGACATCTTGTTTATGGAAGGATGTGTGTCCTCTCCTTCCCAAGCTATCAAGGAAGGACACAGATAGTCTGCACTTGTGCTCTCTGATTTGTAATGCCAGTATTTGCTCACATAGAATTTCTTGGAAGTGTGGTGGTAGAGTTTAGGTTTAACATGTTAGGTAAACCAAAGCGTCATTCAACTCCAAGCATAGTTACATAAAATTACTAGCTTTTAAAAAACAAATTAATAGGAGTATGTCTCTGTAGTGTTCTGTTCCTTCTTAGCAGAATTCGATAGTTACCCTTTTTACATATTTCTGAATTGCCCAGTTTATCACTGTACAACCCAGCATTCAAGATTATCATCTGAGATTTTGGTGAGGAGGACTATCCTTTGCCTGTTCAGTTGTGGGTTTGTATGTGTAAGCCCTGATTTTGAACATATAAAAGCTGTGAACTGTTTCTGTAACCTCAACCAAATGTCACTACCTCCCAGCTTGCATGTTGCTATTCAGCATGTGGGTTTTTGGTTTCTTATTCATTATGCTTTCGGTAAAGCTATACTACTTGAGTCTGTCTGTTAAGTGTTTCACGCTTTCAGTCTCACAAAAAGCAGAGTTCAGTGAAAGTTTTCAATCCTGTAAAGTGGAATAGAGCTTTTCAGCCTCATTGATTTTTATATTTTTTTTTTTCTTTCATGAGTGAGCTTTGGGCATGAGGGTATATAACACTAACAGATTTTTATTTTGGTTTATTTTTTATTTTTTATTTCAGGACTCTTTGACAGCCCTCCAGGATCTGATGATGCAAAGCTCATTGACATATTCTACCCAGGAGACCAGCAGTCTGTAACATTTGGAACCAAATCCCGAGTGGGAATGGGAGGCATGGAAGCCAAGGTAGAAATATGGAACGTTTGTTTTGTTATTGGGAAGGAAAGGGAGATGTGGGAAAGGGAGATAGATGAGATGATTGTGCTGCCGTTCACATGGATCTTGACAGGGTGCAGAAATGGGCGGACAAGAACCTTATGGAGTTCAGTAATGGGAAATGCTGAGTCCTACCCCTAGGGAGAAACAACTCCGTTCACCGGTATGGGCTGGGGAGTTGACTGGCTGGAAAGCAGGTTCACTGAAAAGAGCATAGGGGTCCTGGTAGATAGCAAGTGGAATGTGAGCCAGCAATATGCCCTTTGGGCAAAGCAGGCCAACAGCATCCTGAGTTCCATTAGAAAGAACATAGCCAGCAGGTTGAGGGAAATTATTATTTCCCTCTACTCAGCACTAGTGAGACCACATGGGCAGAGTTGTGGCTGGTTCCGGACACCACAGTACAAGGAGGACATGGCATACTACAGTGAATCCAATGGAGAGCCATGGATATGATTAAAGAATCGGAGCATGTGTCACACTAGGAGACACTGAGAGCTAGGACTGCTTACCCCGGAGAAGAGAAGGTTTGTGTATAAATACCTGAAGGGAGGGTGTAGAGAAGACAGAGCCAGACCTTTTTCAGTAGTATCCAGGGAACAGACAAGAGGCAATGGGCACAGACTGAAATACAAGAAATTAAACTGACATGTAAGAATTTTACAGTGAGGTTGCTGAAGCGCTGGAGCAGGCTGCCAAGAGAGCCTGTGGAATCTCAGTGCTTGGAAATGTTCAAAACCTGACTGGAAGGTGTCTTGAGTAACTTGCTCTAGTTGACCCTGCTTTGAGCAGGCAGTTGGACTATATGATCTCCAGATATCCTTTCCAACCTCAGCTATTCTGTGAGTACTCTGTAACAGTGTATGGGTTCCTTTAGCTTCTCTCTTAGGTCCATCTGAATTGAAAAGAGCAACTAATAAATTACATTCTGGTAGTTTGTAAAATGTGACATTTGGAACTCTATTAAGTTGTTTTAAAATAAGAGTTGGTCCTCACTTCTTTCCTTTGTGATAATCGAAAGGCTTTGGGAATCCCTGTCACTTGAATGTGATACGATACCTCTGTCTCCTTTCTGAGTTTGTATGTATGCTGTTTGCTTCTGAAGGATATATTGGTGGAGACCAAGGTACTTTAGTTCTTGAGTACAAGAGTAGTAGAGGTAGGAGGGCCGATGGTTTTTAGTGCTGTGTACGGTCGGATGCCCTCAGTATTCATTGCTGTGAGTGCATAAACATGGGTGTGGTGTGAGACTTCAACATATGTCTCCCATGATGCTGGGATATGCACTATGGTAGTACGAATTGGTGTGAGTTTCCTAAGGACACTTATGGAAAGTTGTCTGTGAAAACTGAAGTAGATTTTGACTAAGCAAGGAAAGACCATAGTGAAATTCTTCACCATTATCTTATGCTTTATTTCCTTTTCTGAAGAATCAGGTAAGGCATACTTCAGTATCAGAGCATGGACTGGAAGGTGGCAAAAGGAGGAGGCATTTGAGTGTTCTGTTTGTAACTATGGGATGTACAGAGCTTATTTAGAAACAACTTTCCCTTGATCTGGCTTCTGGAATAGTTTAAATGATTCCAGGTATTGAGGGGAAAGCTGCCAAGGTCAGAGAGTATTTGTGTTGTAAAAATAATAATCTGTTAAGAGATATTTGGTATCTTTAAGTCTGAGTCGCATAGAGGCAAATCTCAATGCTGCTGTTGTAACAAAAATTTGTTACAGTTGAGAATTGCATGATATTTTTGAAAAACTGTAACATAAATAATAGAATAAAGAGATGGTAGCTCAAAGTACAAATCTTCATTATGAGCATGAAACTTGAGCAAAAACGTAGCAGTTCATGGTCTTGTGGTGATCAAGAGTTTGATGTGATAGGCATATCTGACAGGCAGTGTCTCCCAGTGAATATGGACTGCAATACCTAATTGTAGAACCATATTAGGAAAGTGTAGAAGTGAGGAAGCAGGGAAGCATTTGCAGTAAAATAAATGACACATAATTAAATATAGTGGTGGGATAATGCTGCCCATACCTTGGTCAGGAAAAGAAATTAAGGACACAACAGGCAGTACCTCTTCAGCAGGTAACATCTGGGATTTGCATCTGTGTTTTTGTATTTTGGCATGAACCAGTGAAATGTTGGGGGGGGGGGGGGGGTTTCTTGTTTTGATGCCTTAAACGATGGCTCAAGTGTGTGGAAAGAGGGTAATCTTAGGACTAATAAGTACATGGGGATTTCAAAGGACCCTTACTAATAAGCTAATCCTGCTGTAAGCTTAACATTCTGTAGAAGGACTAAGCAAACTTCAGTATGCCAACACTGAAGTTCAGAAAGGGAATTCATGTTGCCCTTCATGTTAGGGCAATGCTTACAAAGATACTGCCCCTAAATTTCATAGAGCTCTTGTTGAACATGATGCCTGCCTCCCCACCCACCATGGTCACCTCCATGACAGCCTTCAGCCCACAGGTGACCTGGTAGTATCATTGACTTTAGTTCTCATCTGTCTGTGGACATCAGATTGTTCTTGTTTCAGACTTGCTTCTTGCCTTAGATCTTATGCATGTTGCTTCTATACATTGCTTAGTACACTGTGGTCCTGACCTTTGAAGATGACTTACTTCTAAATGCTATACTTAACAGAATCCTCCTCCAAGGCGGGGGGAAGAATGCCAAATAAAAAGCATATGATTCAAAACTGAAGAAATGCAAACTCTTCAAATAGAGCCTACTGAAGGGAACAACTCTTAAGACAATAGGTGTACTCCCAAGCAAAAAGTAGAAGCAAATAAATAATAAATCCAATGAGAACATGAACAGGAAATGTGAACAAAGTAGGTAAAAACTTTGTGTGGAAACTTAAGTAACTCTTCAGCAAACTTCATAGCTTCACCAAAGGGTTATAAACAACGAGAATACCTCTACATCTTAAGCAGACCCATGAGGAGTGCTTAGGCTGATCAGACTTTAAGGGAGTAATTCAGACAGCTAAAGATATCGAATAATATTTTAGTGTTATATGGTAATGGCTAGGACCTGAGCAAGAACAGTGCTCCACAGTACAAGTAATATCATGTGGTCGCTTAAAGTGGAGTAATTATTGATGGCTAATCAATGTCAGGGAGATTGGCAACAGAATCTTTTCAAAAAGGAAAATTGGGTTTCTTCAGAGAGTAAGAAGAACTTGCAACATAAGGTAATGGTGAAAAAGAGCATATGACCAAAGTACCCTTGCAGAAGTCTTGAAAAAAGCAAGCTGTTAGGAAAATTTGAAGTACGCTCATAAAATGGCAGCTAGTTCAGGAAGGGAATGTAAATCGCAAATACATGATCTCATTCAATGCTACGTTATTGAAATTCCTGAAGTGTGTTGAATGCTCTTTGAACTATCTGGGCATCAAAGTGGAGCAAGAAGTCTTGTTGAGAGCAGTGATTCAATTAACAAGTGAATTTCCTGGAACTGGCTCTATCCTTCACTGTAGGTGAAAGCAGCTCTGTGGGCTCTCCAAGGAGGCACCTCTGTAGTGATTGCAAATGGAACCCACCCAAAGATCTCAGGTCATGTCATCACAGATATCGTGGAAGGGAAAAAAGTTGGAACTTTCTTTTCAGAGGTAAAACCTGCAGGTGAGTACAGAGGTAATGTGTACATTGAGAGCTGTAGAGATTTCCTGAAAGGTTAAAATTTGGCTAGACCTGTACAATAACTGCGATACCACACTCTGCTTAAAAAATGGTTTTTGAAAGGTATTTTCTAAAGTAGGAATAGAAAATGTTGAATCTTCTGCTCTGGTTCCCTCCAGCTGATAAACTGCTGCATCAGACTTGCATCTGAAGAATGCAATGCGTAAAATTTTTACCATTTTTAGTCTTAGAGGTTATCATCTAGTATTGAAGATTTCAGTGTGAAAATGTGGACATAGAATGTGCTGCTGAACTAAGACAGCGTTTTGTTTTATTTCTTATCATAAATTCCTTTTACGACTCAGTCTTCTGGTATGGTAGGTAGGAATGTTTTCTTGCCCCTGCGTTGCTGGGACAGTGTAACAGTTGCTGGAGAAAGTCAGACCAAAGATCCGTGACCTTAGCAGAATAGGACAAGTACTTTTGATGCTCTTGATACTTCTGACTTGCACTTTAAGCCAAGCAAATTTCTTTGTGTATAATAATCCTCAATGGATTTCTTGTATGAATTTGTCGAATCATCCTTTGAATCTATGTAAAGACTTAGCATCCACAGGGCTCTGTGTCACGATAGTCAAGAGCCTTTACTAGATACTGTGTGTTAACTCTGGAGCTAGAACTATGTGAAGAACTGCTTGCTTTAATTTGGGTTTGGGGGGTGGAGAAGGTTTTGAATTTTCTTCCTGATAGCTTCATTTGATGCCCCTACTGCCTGTATGGGTGATCAACCCCTGTTTAACTTTGAGGATGTGAGACATCATCTTTCCCCTCATCATCTCTCTTCCACGTGAAAGAGGTTTGGTCTTAGACATTTTGTACCAAAGCTGTTCCAAAAACCTGGTCAACGCCGTTTCTCTTGTTCGAAACTGTTTTCATTCTATTGTGGGCTTTTTGAGACAGGCAAAAATCAAAACTTCACACACCATTCAACATGCACGTAAAGCTTTAATTCATGAGATGGCAAGACTAACTGAGTTTTGATGAGATTGATAATGTTTTCTGTTATGTTCTCTAGGCCTTTTCTAATAATTCCAAACATTTAATTTGCTTTTCAATTTTGATGTTCACTGAAATGATGTTTTCATAGTATTATTTGTGACAGTACTAAGGTCTGATTTTCCTTTTCCCCCTCTACATTGCTTCATGTTTATCTGGTTGAATTACACTTGCTGTTTTGTGGCCTAGTGACGTGGTTGCAGAGGAAATCACACAATTGCCGAACGGCTGAGGTTGGAAGGGACAGTATGACAGATGACAGGGTCATCTGGTCCGACCCCCTGCTGAAGCAGGTTGCCCAGGACTGTGTCCAGACAGCTTTTGAATTTTTCCAAGAATCGGAGACTCCACCACCTCCCCGGGCAACCTGTGCCAGTGCTTGACCATCCTCACACTGCAAAAATGCTTCCTGATGGGAGACAGCTCCTGTGTTTCAGTTTGTGTCCATTGCCTCTTGTCCTGTCACTGGGCACCTCCGAAAAGAGTCTGTCTCCATCTTCTTTACACGCTCCCTTTGGGTATTTGTACATACTGATGAGATCCCCCCTGAGCCACCTTCTCCAGGCTAAACAGTCCCAACTCTCTCAGCGTTTCCTCATATGAGAGATGCTCCAGTCCCTTCATCATCTTTGTGTCCCTTCGTTGGGCTCTCTCCACAGTGTCCGTGTCTCTCTCCTACTGGGGAGCCCAGAACCGGGCACAGCACTCCAGGTGTGGCCTCACCAGTGCTGAGCAGAGGGGAAGGATCACCTCCCTCGACCTGCTGGCAACACCCTTCCTAAGGCAGCCCAGGACACCCTTAGCCACCTTTGCGGCAAGGGCATGCTGCTGGCTTGTGTTCAGCGTGGTGTCCACCAGGACCCCTGGGTCCTCCTCTGAAAAGCTGCTTTCTAGGAAGAAGTGTGATAGTGACACTGTTTGGTTTGTCCCACTGTAATAAATTTTTATCGGCAGTAAAGCTTTTCATCTTGTGAGCCCATTCTGAGTCACTTACAAATATGGGAAACAGCAAAAGTCCCTGTGGAATTTTACTGGCACTCTTCTGCTATTGTGGCAAGCATTTACTCCAATCCTGTCTTTGTCTTCTTCGGAAATCCAAGTAACTTTTTAAAATCAACTCTATGTGCTTACATACATGTCACTCAAAGAGCACCAAAACATACCATACTTTGTAAAGTATGACTTGACTTTAGAAAGCTGTTTTAACATTTCTTAAATAAGTCTAATTAATCATGTGTGCACAAGTTCTTTTCTTACACTTCCCACTATACCTCTTGATATTTTCCATGATACTGGAATTCCTGCTCTGGCAATTTCCATAGGACCCTTCTTAAATAGAAGTTGGGTCATTTGTCACCTTCAAGTCATCTGTTTTACAGGCAATTTCAGAAGAGTTAAAAACCCACCTTTCTTCTATAGGAACTCTTCTAAAATGCACACAGGGAGAGACAGAGGGAAAGCAATTTTTCTGTGAGCTGTTACTCAGATTGGGTTTTGGCTCCCGTTATTCTTTGTACATCCCCATGCTATTTTGTAATCCTTTCTGTTTTCCTCAGTTGGATATCTAAACTTTTCAAAGTTTGCCTCCTTGCTTTCAGTAGCCTACCATGCCCTGAGACTTAGCTGTCCTGGTGTTCTTTTGCCCTTTGTCAAGTCTTCTTGATACATGGTGCGCACTTGCCTCTGACATGGCAACCTTACAGAATCTGTGTGATGACTCTTTACGTTTGGGGACCATAGCAGTATTTTTGTCAGGTACAGATTTTCCTGTTTTAGTATGCAACAGATTTCTTGAATATGTCTGTTTAAGACTCTGTACCTGCTTTCCTGCTTTGAGCAAAGAATTGGAAGATGGAAGGTCTAGCGTTCACTTCCACATGTGCTGTTATTTTGTCTGCATGGCGTATTTTTGGGTTTTTTGCAGGTCCTACAGTAGAGCAGCAGGGTGAAATGGCTCGAGCAGGTGGCAGGACCCTGGCAGCTCTACAGCCTGAGCAGGTGACAGAACAATATGGCCTCACTTGTTAAGCTTGTGAATGTGTGGCAAGTTTTACAACACAGATTTATAACACAATATTCTTTGTGTGCCAGATCCATCATTTGGATTGTAGCATGCTTAAAGAGATGAGAACAGCAGAAAGATAATGTGCGTTGTAGCTATGAAGTAATATATGCTTCCATGTGGGGTTTATAAAAATTTTAATAGCATCGAATATCACATAGAAATGAATTGTGATCAGAGCTGCTGAAGAATTGACTGCTATAACTCTTTCCATTCACTCCTGTGTGTAGCGTATGCAAAAGAGGGGCTGTACACCATCAATTACGGCTCTGCAGTCGGGTAGGTAAAATGTGGCATCTGTTGTGAAGCAGACAAGGTGGTCTTAAAGGGAGAACATTGTGGGTTTGGTGAAGAAGACTGGGCATGGAAAGCAAGATAATAAAAAGCAAAGTAAACGTTGAAGCAGTGTTCAGTCTCATTTTTCAATGTGATGCAGGCTGGAAAAAATCATCTGGCCCCAAGTATTCGGGGAGTCAAGACAGCGAGAGGATGTGGTCAACATAAATGGACTGAAGGGGACCAGATGTCAAATAGGTTGGACTTTGTGTAAGAAGTCAGTTCAGAAACTGTTTTCTCTTTCAGAGAGCGGAGATTATTTATCGTCTTGCTGACTTACTAACCGACCAGAGAGAAGAAATTCTCTTGGCAAACAAAAAGGACTTGGAAGAGGCTGAAAATAAAGGTAATATTTCAAGTCCTTCCATGGTAATCTTATTGTCTTGAACCTCTCTGGGCCTCAAAGGAAATGAGCAGAACTAGAATCTTCTGTCACCTGGGATTGAGTAGTATGACTGTCACAGATCAGTGAACCCAGGACCTTGAGAGCTTGTCAGTATAAACAGCTGCAGCTTCCTTAATTAAATAAAACAGATGCCTTCATCAGAGAAGACACTGAGGCCTTGCAAAACACCAAACAGTGTATTGTAAAAAAAAAAAAATATTAGTGCTCCATTTTGCCAAAGGAGGCTCACTTTAGAAATGGAATATAACAAACATTGGGGCCTTGAAAAACCCCAAAAGGGTTTTTTAAAAAAAAAAAAAAATATTAGTGCTCCATTTTGCCAAAGGAGGCTCACTTTAGAAATGGAATATAACAAACATCGTCTCTGTTATTGTCATGAGTAAAGTGAATATTTTCTGTTCAGCTCCTGCGGGGAAGGTTGTCATCTCTATACTCAAATTTATGCTTTCCAAAAAGAACCATGTCCCCTTCTGATTGAGGAAGGTTCTCTTTAGGTGGCTTGGATTAAACCCATTCTTCTGTTAGATTGATGCATTCATTGAGAAGTTGGGATTAGGATGTGTACATACAGGAATAGCAAATGTATGAAAATGACACATCATGAATCGTAATACTTTGTGGAAGATGCCAGGGAACCGTTTTTTACTGACCAGAGTACTTGAGGGGACATTGCTGGGTTAACTTACTGTCTGAACGTGTTCAGACTAGAAAATGCAAGGAGTTCTTGCCCAGTCTGAACAGAAATGCTATACATGCGTCTGTGTTTTTGGTTTTCTATCTGTAAAACAGAAAGATGAAACTACTGCCCGAATCTTCCAGAAATATTGCAAGGGTAGAAATTTGTAAGAAATTCAGACATATAGCAGTACTTGAAACAGGGCAAACCTTATCTTTGCCGATGTTGATGTTGCTTCACATACAATCACTTAAACCACATTAAGTGCAAATGTGGTGGTGGTTGAAATCAGTCATGTTTGAGTCGTGTTATTGTAGCTACTGGACTTAATGCTGTGCATTTTTCATTTCAGGTAGGTTTCTTGCTAGGGTGTGGGAAATACCTGAATTTTCCTTAGATTCACCACTTGTTTAAGTCGCTTTTGCTTGAGCCTAGGCAGACCAATCTATCTACAGCACAATTTTTTCTTTCTTTTAGGGAGATTGGCACTTCCTTTGTTGAAACGTCTAAGTCTGTCTACATCAAAGCTGAACAGCTTGGCTATCGGTCTGCGTCAGATTGCAGCATCCTCACAGGACAGTGTTGGCCGTGTAATTCGGCGAACACGAATAGCAAAAGACCTGGATTTGGAGCAGGTGACGGTGCCTATCGGTGTCCTTCTCGTGATCTTTGAGTCCCGTCCTGACTGTCTTCCACAGGTATGTAAGGAGGGCAGTTTACACTGTTGGGAATTCTTTGATGACAAAAGACAGGGTATTTCTGTTGGTGAGCAATTGGGAGGCTGCCAGAAGTCTTGTCTCAAAGGTCTCTTGCTTGGATTCTTCTAAAATTGATTTTGTCGGCAACTCTATTTTTCCTGCAGAGATATTCTCAGGACTTGCTTCTGCAGTGTTCAGTTATTCAGGCCTGGGGTTTTTGTTTGGTTGGTTGGTTTTTTAACCCCGACATATAGCAGGAGTTATCTTACATTCAGATGGTGCAGTTCCTGCATGTGTCTTACAAATGTATGTTCAGTGCCGAACTCACAGCTTGGGAGGCTCCTTTATCTGTCCATGCTGCATACAGCTGAACTGCAGGCTGGGATTAAACAAGAGCTGTTTAATACAGATGGTAGTAATTAACTGTAACTGTTATGAATACATGATAAAAAAAAAAAACTTTAAAAAGACTGAGCACAGAAAGCACAGAGGGTCCAGGCTTTGAGTGGTCTGTCCTGGTCTGTCCTCTGTATAATACTGCTTGTGTGCCAGAGGGGGAATGATAGCTTTTACTCGGTTCTAGTGAGATGCTGTGAGGAAGAATGGTGTTCTAAGTTCCTACGTACTGAAGTTGCTGGAAAGGCTAGTAAAAATCTTGAATAGCATACTGTAAGTGAATGTCATTTATCTTGTGCCAGGAATAAGGCAGGCATCTTAAAGGCAAATACCTTCATCTGCAGTGCTGTGTGGGAGTAGTGCTGTGAGTAAATGCTGTTATGATGCATGAAAATATGGGGGCTGAATTAACATTGCAGAGGCAACCTTGATCTTATTTTCTAACTCCCAACTACTTTACTGAGCAACTGTAGTACATTTTAAAAAGAAAACAAAAAAAACTTCATTATCAACACTATTTCCCACAATTCACATTAGGTGTCTAGGAAGATTGAGGAGTTCTCTAACATATGAGCAGGTGTTTGAGGAGAAAGTGATAGGTACAGGCACTTTAAAAGGAAGTGAGACTCAGCCAGTGGACAGCTTGGTATTTCATGCCTGAATTTTGTAAGAGGTCCCCATTTCATTCTGAAAGGGAGTATGCTCTAGGCAAAGTTCCCGTGAAACAAAAAGGCATTAGGCTCCCTTGCCTACCATTATTAGGTCCTTGCTGCTAGCTCTGTTCTTCGTCGATAACCATGTTATGTATGTTTCCTTGTTGAATTCTAGTCTGTCTTCCTGGACTTCAACCCTGGTCTCTTGCCTTGCGTAGCTGATGTCTCCCTCTTTCTCCGCCCCTTTATCTTATCTTAGAACTTACACCAGACTGACTCTTGCTGGCTTTTTTCCTAGCTTTGTTTTACAGACTTGGAATAGCTTCTCTTGGTAGTTGCCTTTCTTCCTGCCAGCCTGTCCTTCTGTCCTCATACTCACGTCACATTCTCTGATGCAACTTCAGAGGATCATCTTTGATACCTCTGCATTTGAATTGCATGGTTTCTGTCCCATGCTGCAGCTGATAGTAGGATGGTCCCTGAGTGCAGAGGAACAGTTCCCTCCTCTTAGTTTACTGCTGCATCTCATGCTTGTTTGGGTAAGCAATTACAGGGGAAGTGTGACTTTGCCCTGGAAGAGAGCGTACTCGATTTGCTCCCTGGAGCTAGCTTACACAGTTAGTGCTCAGAGTTCAGTCTTGAGTTGCAGTAAAGGTGAAACAATTGCAGATTACCAGTTAAGATTTAATAAGCTTCTAATGAGCATATACAACTAGCACGTTTGCCTCTAATACTTACCAAATACTTACAATACTTACCAAATTGCAGACTGCTTCCTATAGATTCCACCAAATTCAATTGTTGTTCTGAAGTATAGTCATGCTCTGCTATGCTTTGAAGGGACTGAACTGTTTTGAAACCCCTTATCTTCTGTTCTCCTATTAATCACAAAGCTTTTTATTTTTGTGTCTTAATTCTTGATTTTTTTTTTTCTTTTCATTTGTTCAAATCAGTTCATAACCTTTATTTTAATATGATGCCTGCAGAGTGGAATTCTTTATTTAAATAAGCTTATTTGTTTAGCTTTCCCTTGTAATACTGACCTTTGGAGACGCAGATACTTACAAGATACTTTCAAAGTACAATCAGGCTGCTTTTTAGTGTCTAGTTTTGTAAGTTAGAAAGACACACAATATCTATATAAGGCAGGCTTCCTAGACTATTATACTTTAGTGTATTTTTCTGAAATATTTCTTATTTTTCAATATTCGTTTCAAATTGCTGACAGCAGGATGAGGTAGAATATCAAACATTGTGATTGGTATTATCCATTTGATATTAGAAGGGGAGAGGAGGTGGTCTGAGGAGATGTATCTGATGGGCTTAACATTCTTCTGTATGAATCAGCATCTAAAGTGTGTCACTAAGCTAACTGCTTCGTAGATGTAAGCCTGGCTAATTCTGGCATCAACATCTCAACAGCATACAACTGATATACTAATGAGTGCGGGTTTGGTGATGGTGCATACAGATACGTATGCTCTTTCCCAGAAGATAGTAATACAGCAAAATAACTTCAAATGCTTAATTTGTTCATTCTAAAAGGTTCTGGAAAGGAGGTGACTTTGTTTTCTAAAGGAATGTATGCTATTTTTTTCAAATAGGTGGACAAATTGTGAGGCCATTGTGAATGGGATTGGGGTGAGGAAGACAAAAAGGGATACAAAAGTAAAATAAGTCTAGGAAGAGAACTTTATCATGTCAGACATACTCCTAGGTAGAAAAGAACAAAAAACTGAAACAAACAATAAAAAAACCTACCACCACCCCTCTGTTGAAGAGGTTTTCAGTTTAGTGGGGAAAACACCAATAAGAACTAGTGTCCAGAGATGGAACAAATTGGGTATATGTTTTCAACAGCAGAAGTAATTTTTTATCTAACTTCCAAAAAGCAGTGGCTTCTTTGGAGCATCTTTTTGAAATATGGTCATCTTGTGTTGCTGGACTCAAGTGGGTGAAATCTGGCACCTTAAACAGAAAGGCAACAATATCAGTCGGTTCCTTCTGGTTATAAGTGTGTGTCGTGGTTTAGCCCCAGTCAGCAACCAAGCACCATACAGCTGCTTGCGCACCCTCCCCCCACCCCGGCGGGATGGGGGAGAGAATCTGAAGAGCAAAAGTAAGAAAACTCATGGGTTGAGATAAGAACAGTTTAATAATTGAAATAAAATAAAAATAAGAATAATAATAAATTGTAATGAAAAGGAAAACGGATGGGCGTGGGGGGGGACACGACCAAAACCCAGGAAAAACTAATGATGCAACCGCTCACCACCCACCAACCGACACCCATCCAGTCCCCGAGCAGCGATTGCTGCCCCCCAGCCAACTTCCCCCAGTTTATATATCGAGCATGATGTCATACAGTATGGAATAGCCCTGTGGGCCAGTTTGGATCAGCTGTCCTGGCTGTGCCCCCTCCCAGCTTCTTGTGCACCTGGCAGGGCATGGGAAGCTGAAAAGTCCTTGACCAGTATAAGCGCTACTTAGCGACAACTAAACCATCAGCATATTATCAACATTATTCTCATCCTAAATCCAAAACACAGCACTATACCAGCTACTAGGAAGAAAATTAACTCTATCCCAGCCAAAACTAGGACAACATGAAAGCAAAGTGATAGAGATGATGCTGGGCCTATTGTCTGGAAGGTTTTTTTCCCCCACACTATGGCAAGTGTTGTCTATAACTTCTGTTTTAGACAGCACAATGAAAATGTTCTTCCTGCTCATAGGAAGAGCTCATTAGCCACTTTATGCCAGAATGATTAGGGATGAGAGTTCTTGCACCTAAAATTGTTCTCCTTGGGGTCCTTGCCCACACCGCTACCCAGTTCATACCAGCGCCTACGTTGAGGGTTTCCTCTGACTTATCCACTGCAGTGTCCCCCTGGCAATAGTACCCTGACAACTCAAGTTTGTTCCTGAAACACTAACACATTTCTTTTCTGGAGTTAAATGTGCTCTTACTTGTAATGATTTTTTTGTTGCAATAAAATGAAAACTGTAGATTAACATTGAGTAAATCAACAGGATTAAAAATCCTGTTCTTAATCTATTTCGTGGGTGTTATTCTGACAGAAGAGACAGATTACTTTTTTTTTTTTTTTTAAATAAATTCTTTTCTGATAGG